AAAGCACATTATATAAGGGATCACTATTTAAGAATTTAGATTGTGTTAAGACAGCACATATTTAATTCCTGTCCTAGGAAATCCAAATTTGCAAGACAAGACCAAGAAAGATCCAGAGGAAGAAATAATTTTTTCCCCCCCTTCAACTGTATCCATTAATGCAACCCTACCATTGAAAGAACTAGATGTGTTAGGGTCTCGCATGCTTTTTCAAGAACTACTTAAAGCATTAAGAGTGTTTTACAATGGTAAAATATTAAAAGCACATAGGATATTCAACTGTAAGGGAACCACCACACCACAGAACTCGCAACAGAAACGCTGAAGGATTACTATCCCTGAACAATCCTACTCAATGAGTCTTACCACAACTCTCTGCCATTCTTCCACAAGATTTTTGAAGGGATATAAAATAAACAGTAAGGTATAATCAAAAATCCATATTGTAAGTTCCTTTTAATATTAGCTCACCCTGTCTAGAAACAGCAGGCGGCAAACCATAGACTAACAAAAAGTGTCTCACAGAGAGTTCTCAGTGGAAAGGACTTGAAGTTAACCCTAATTCTAAAGAAAAAGGTTTCTTACGTTAGTGTTTTCACTTATGATAATCTCAAAGAAAATAATAGAAACTGATGAGACAATTCCAACTGCTGGAGAGAAGAAACATAGAAGATTATTCTGTTAGAATATAAAAAGACAGCTGACACTGCCAAGAGTGGATTTTTCTTCTGTCCTTAACTCTTAGCATAAGACTTAGAGGAAACTGTTTTCTCACCAATTGAAAAACAGGTCTCAATCCTACAGTGATGCCCAACGTGACATCTTCCTTGGCTCTTGCAAGTTTAAATAGTGATAATTCTCACTTCAATCTCTGAATTTATATGCAATATACTGAGAATCAAAAACTGGAAAATGGCAGATTGTTATAGGATTTATCAGAAATACAAGGTTATTACAAACAGATTAGACCAGGGTGGAAATGACCCAGGCTAAGCAGGAGGGTAACCTGGGTAAGTGCCATGGAAAAATAAATAGCATGACTGGACCTAAGGCAAATGGAAGCATTTCAAATTGGCTTCCTCCAATTCACTGTAGAACATGTGACGCCCACATGTCCTCCTCTAACAAACTTCACCATAAAAAACAAAGGCCAACACTGAAGTGTTGAAAAAACACATCCACCACCAGCTTCTTCCATACCACAGCAACACAAATTATGGCAGCTGCCTGAACAGCATGAAAGAAAAGAGGTGTTTTGGAAGAAAGTTACCAGCATTTATCTGAAGTACTCCATACTGTCAGTAAGACTTCACATTGCAAAGAAGAGCAAATTTTTTTTTTTTTTTTAAATAAAAGTCAATTTTAGCATTGGTCCACAAGATCTGTGCGTAGCTGTGGCCAAACTGCAGCTGTGTATGCAGCTCCGTTCTACCCACTTTCCCTGTCTACCTCTGTGCTCTGGCACCTCCTCTTGCACCATTCTGGTGGGTTTTTGTCACATTGACTTTTAAGGAGATCAACTCCTTTATCCGATTCCTTGTGAGGACACAAAAACACTAGAGTTTGCTTAACAGAAAGGTCAGGAGCTCATGGCTGGAATAAGCTGTCTCTATAATCAGCAGCCCACATCTAAATTGGCTTAAAAATCACAGCCTCACAGCAGCAAGTGATCATGACACTGCCTGAATATAAGAAAATCTATGGTAAGAGTGGTCCTAGAAAAAGGATCTCAAAGTGAGCCATTCTTAAAGTTTATGATTAGCTTTATGGTAGAGTGTTGCTAATCTACTTGTTAACAAAGACAGACTTCAGGAGTTGGTAAACTATGAGTAAGTAAAAACATAGCTTAAAAGCATAAGCTTAGCTTAAAAGAGTTGGTTTTGGTCAAAGATCCTTTACATGAGGAATTTGAGAATATGGCTTGATTAGAACAAATGAAAGATATTTCAAGGGCATGTTACCAGTTTTGATTTAAAAAAGGATATCAGAACTACTACAGCAAAATACTGCCAACCTTTGCCTTTCCATTACAAAAGAGCAGGAATTTGGAAACAAAAAGAAATAAGAGATAAATATTGCCTGAAGAGGAGAGGCTGAGCAAAGTAGCTAATAATTTGAGTTAAACTCAGCCAGCAGTAGGACATAAATACCTTAGCAGAACAGGACAGCATATATGCTGCAATCAACAGGGGACACAGGAACACAGCTGTTAAAGCATTTCATTACACTTCCAGAGCAGGAGCTCGAATCTTGTCCTAGAATCATAGTGAAGCCCTCTTTCATTAGCTTAGCTGTAAACTGATAACTGCTCATCCCAGCAGAGGAATCCAAGGCAGATGCACACACCATTAACCACATTAATCCCTAGCTGCTGCACCAACTACTACAACAGACATGTTTTTAGCCATGCTGGATGGGTTAAAACGTCTAGGTTTGAGTGATCTTCAACTTAACAGCAAACTCATTGCTATTTTTAGTTGCTGTATAACAGCGTTTTCCACCAACCTCGAAGATGCCTGCACTTCCCCCACCTTTAAAACTACTTGAAAGAATTTCTGCTTTGAGGAAAACATATCAGAGAAAATACGGAGATTTCACTTTCCAGCATTAGCAAAGTACATCATTATCATAACATTACTGAAAGTATGAAAGAGTTCTGACATCAAACATGAGGCATCCCATAATTCTTGCACGAAGTATTACTACTAGACTATTAGGCTAGCAGGTAATCTTGACATTTGAGCCTTAAATCAAAAGTACGACAACTGCAGGTTATATTGGACTCAGACTTGCAGTAAAAACAAGTGAAAGAAATATCATTGATGATACTCATGCAGTCATATACACTAAATGAGGAATACATAAAAGTGCCATAAACTGCCAAAATTCCATTTTGCACCCCCCCACTTCTCACCCTTTCCCAACTGAAACTAGTACAATCCTTCGGAGTAGTTGGAGTGTGGTTAAGGAGAGGAAGCTACGCTTGTTTGCCAGGAATCTGCTATTTCCTCTCTGCCAAAACACTTGTTTAAAGAAGTCATGCAATATTTCCATTAAACTGTAAATGCAGTTGACAAGGAAATGGCCTACTGGCAATGCATTACCTTTGTGGCAGTGCCAACCAGCCTACAGCAAAATAGCACACATGATAATTTCAACATGCATTCCCAAGTAACAAAATTGTACTTTACATAAATACCACAGAACTCCAGCAACATCTAGAAAAAAAAGCAATGAAAATTTGCCCAAGCTTTCATGCTTGCCTGTATCAATTCTATGTCATAACTAAAACAAAGTAGGAAAGCATCTACATATGTCCAAAAGTCCTGTGAAGTTATATCATATAACACTGGAAAAAACTATTGCAACTTAAATATGTGTATTTCTTGTTAACCACTGTAACAACTTACTAATAAAAATTAAGGCAAACTGTAGGTATCAAATATACAAAAGAATACTAACTGCATAGAGGTCCTTAAAGACCATAACGTAATTTATTAACAAGAACACGTGTTCTATGCAACCCAGAATTGTTTTACTTTGGCCTTTGATAGCATTCATTTGATTACAAGAATTAAATAGATTCATAAGCTTTCAAATTCAAACAGTGACCTTTGGTTTATAAGCAGCTATTGTCACGCTTATAAAATCCTCTCTGATAATGTAGCCCTTACCTTTCATCAGCTAGTACAACTACACACTATTATGTTAAAATGAACCCAGAGGCAAAGACGACTATTAATTTAAGGGTACAACTAAAAAACTCTAGCATGACCAAATTAAATTAATCTGTAATCAATATGGTTCTCAAAAATAATTTCAAAATATTAATTCATCTTAAGTTAAATTCCCCACTAAAAATAAGCTTGACACATGATTATCTTCACAGCTTTATCTGAAGTATTTTCAGTTTGGATACCGACTTTAAAATAGCTGCTTCTCAGGGGAAAAAATAATGGTGCAGGACAAATACTACATCGTTTTGGGAACAAAACTTGACGTTTCAAATTACAAAACAGTTACTAGCTTTAATTGTATTGTACACTACAAAAAAGAAAAAAAAAAAAACAACCTTCAGAAAATGTCCTTTCTCTCACGCAAACCAAAAACAAGAACCCAATAGCATGAAAAGCACTTGAATTCATGTACGTGCTACCTTAAGTAATCATGTACGTACAGGACCTTCTCTATCAACAGTGGTGACTGCCCGATATTAAGAGCCTGGTATCCGAGACATCAGCAGAAGAAAATCGAATAGATAATTCGGTGTGCATGCCATTCCTATAGCAAAGCACACAGACGGAAAAAAGTGTAACTATATAAAATGCCTTGTTCATACCAAATGGGCTTTAGATGTACACAATCCTAGAACTAAGTATTTATCGATACTAAACCAGCAGAACTATTCTATAGCTCATTTCAAAAAACCAAAATCCATGACCAACAGCAGCAAGTTATCCCTACACAAACATTTTTTCCCGTAAACTCCTCAAAGTAATTTCTTTATAACTGCTACTTCTCGTAAGACTACTAATTCTAATTACATTTTATTTTGCAAAAAGTAAACTAGTTCAGTAAATAGTTTAAGAGCCAGTAATAAATAAAGACTGCCCAAGGTTATTTATATTAACAGTGCTTACATAGGACAATTCTGAATTCTTCTCTTGGCCATCTTCACTTCAAGACTGCCTTTTAAACTAGGATGGCCTCTTGGTGATGCAAGTCTGGGAATACAGGTACAGCCTAACAGGCTTCTATACGCTACCTTCAAGCCAATTAAGCACATATTGCCTTAGCTTTCTCTCCCACGTACGTAGAGACAACACTACTTCAAAACCTTACAGACAAATGTCAAAATACAGGCAAACTACAGTAAACAGAAGTAAGACAGCAAATAAAAAAATCTATTAAAACTTTGCCCATAAATGTACAGTTCTAAGACTACAGAATTAACATTTTTATACAATAAACAAGAAACAGCCCCCCCCATACACACTTACCCTCATTGGATGAATATCAGCATATGGAGGCTTTCCTTCAGCCATTTCTATTGACGTGATGCCAAGGGACCAGATATCTGCCACACAATTATAGCCAATCTCTTGTATTACCTCAGGAGCCATCCAAAATGGAGTTCCTATAACAGTATTACGTTTTGCCATTGTATCCTGCAATTATATTATTTGTGCAATTAAAACATGAATGCTTATTTTCATGGACTTCTTTGATATTAATTCTACATTTAAACGTTAAATTAAATAAAGGTCAAACTGTAACGACTTCCAATTATGATCAAACTGATTCAGTCTGTCAACCTACTGAGACCAAACAGGTGACAATGACTGTAAGTCTCAAATAAAACTGTAAAGCAGGATCATCCAGCTTTAATACTGCTATGTAAAACAGTATTATTATACTAAACAACTGGAAACTAAATAGCCTTTCAATACACAAAATACTCATCGCGACAAAGAATGCTCTTCTGCCAGCACTAGTCACTTCTCTTTTTCTCCCTTGGATTTTGTGTCTGAGAAAAGTAAAAGACACAGTAAGGAGCATTAAAGCATTTTTAAATGATCTTTCCACATATACTTACTGTTAACTGGCCAGCCACACCAAAATCAGCTAATTTTGCATGCCCTTCAGTGTTAAGAAGGATGTTTCCAGCTTTTATATCTCTGTGTATTTTTCTCATAAAGTGCAAATATTCAAGTCCTTTAAGAGTAGATTTAAGAATAGTTGCAATTTCATCTTCTGTTAGCTGCAAGAATACATAAAATCACTTTTATTTGCAGGCATATGCATACACAATGTGTATATATTTAAACTATTTAAGACATGATCAGGTCAGCACTTCATAACAATTCTTATAAAAAATACACAAAACAGGACGTATAGACAGGAACATGCCCAAGAGCGCTTACAATTCAAACCTCTAATTTAGCAACTTGATCCACATAGCTAATGTCTACACCTCTAGAGTCCAATTAAAGTAAGTGAGCTGCAAAACTAGAGAAGGGACTGACTGATGCAGATCAGATAGTGCAACAGGCAATATTCTCTTGTCTGTCAGTCAAAAGTTATTACCCCTCAGACACTGAAGTCTTTCATAAAAACTACTGCACAGTTTCAACAACACACAATTAACGTTTATCACTAAAATCATAAACATTAATTGTCAAGTTATGCATTACCTTTGTCAAAACAGCTGGTCCCCGCTAGACCAGAGAGTACACATCAGAATACTTCCCTAGAAAAAAAAGATAACCTTTTCTCCATGCTAGCAGGCCTGAGCCGTTCCCCAAGCATTGGAGCCCTTAAGTTAAGTGTTTGCACAACAAACTAGCAGAGTCCTACGGTTGGAAAGGGATGAAAGGAATGCCATGTTTTCTTAATTTCTCAAACTCCCACATATGAAACGCCGGCTAAGTCTGCAGTTAGTATTATCAAGAATCTGCTTTTGCCCATTAGCAACCCTAATTGCATTACTTAGTTTCTCACTGCTAGCAATCTACTAAGTGGAAAGAAGGAATTAAGAGCTTCCTGGCAAGAACAAAAATCAACAAAACAGAAGGCAGGGAATTGTGGTATACAAAAAATAGCCAAAAAGTTATTTATCACAAAGCTTGCTAAAAATATATTCACCAAGGTCGCTTTGCTATTTACTCTCTGTAAGAGGATAAAGTAGTATGCCAAAATATAAATAATCAGATAAAATTCCCAACAGTTATCTACTAGTTAACAGGCTTCAGTAAAATTTTATAAAGTAAGCTATTGTTTTAAAGGCTAGGGCCTTAATTTTGTACAGAGTACAAAGTAAATGCTAATTTTTTTGGAGATAAATATTTCTCACTCGGCCTGTGCTCTATGCTAACACAAAGCTGTAGAACTGCACCTATACAGATGAGACCTATGCCCTTCCCAAAGCTCCTATTCGGCCCTGAAAAAGGAAAACAAAGACGTCAGGGTACTGTTACGCTGGCAGGTGCCAATAACCATTATCACCTGTTCCTTTGATCTGCAGACAACCGCAGAAACAGTTGAGAATCGATGCCAATCAGATGCTACGGGCTCCTTCTTCCACCACTCTCCGTTGCTGGCTGGCTGGCTGACGCCGAGAACGTTCTGCTTGCTACCTGCATCGTTCTGCAATGCTACATGACATCCTCACAGGAAAATACAGTCATACTGAATGTATGGCTTTTCAGTCTCAGACATATATACCATACGCTTTAAAGTGCCTTCTGAGAATCTTAATTACTGTGTTGTTTATGCAAAGGTTTCCTGTTAGCTCTTAATAATATTAAGTGTAGATAAACCACATGGGCTACATTGTATCATGTTACTATTGCACTGTAAGGTTACATAATTGAACTAGTAGGAATCCTAACACAGCTGGCCCTGAATATATTTGATAAGGAAGACACCATATTTTAATAAGGAAACCTACCACTATGTGAAAATAATATAACACGTGACTTTCAAAGTAGCTGCAACCTATTAGTATCATCTGTTCTCTAGAAAACATGAAGCTTACTTGTTCATAAGTATCACCTATAACCATGTTGAATTTTTAACAAGATTCTTTAAGAGCAACATGGCCTTCAGTTACTTCTGAGAAATAACATAAAAGGAACTCAAGTTCTATAGAGCCTATACTGTAAAGTCAGTAATACATTTTGCATAGCTATACTCGGCATTTTTTCATATAGTTACATTTGCTGTTCATTTTTCAGTCAGGATGAACAGAAAGATACTCTCAGAATTAATCAGAGTGGCAAGGAGCACAGTAAAATTGAACATAAACTGAAAAATAAAAATCAAAAAACTGAAGAGTAAGCCAAAAAAAACTGTCAACAGGGAAATCTATTAAACTCTGAAAAGATATCACAAATGAACCACTAAGAACTCTTTTGCTGGATTTTATTTTTTAGGCAGACCAAACAAACTTCAGTTTTAAAAATATAAAAAGAAACCCACTATTAGCTACCTACTATAAGTAAAGAAGTAATGTAAACTAGACAGCCTAAAATATCTCTCTCATTTATTCCATTAATACATTATAGAATTAATATAGCATCACAAATGATGCAATAAGCTGCAAGTATCATCTGCCAACAAACTGACAGGCACTTTATTACCAAAGAAAATGCAACATAGTTCAAAAAAAATTGATATACATACTTTCATTTATCTGCTTCATTAACTACGTGAACTACTGAATCATCAGCTAGCATAATTGTCTTAATCACTCTAGATTAAGATAACAGGAACGTGTAACGCTTCCTGAATAAGTGCCCGCAGAGAAACAGTGCAAGTAAACCTTTTGCACATGCCATACCCCAGAAAAACACTTAGATTTTGACCAAGACTCTAGAATAAAATAAAAACACAGTTCATTCCATGTGATACAAGTTTTCAAAAGAAATAGAGAAACTATTCATGCAATTGAGTTATTGTTCAGTAAAAGTACATTAATTTTTAATCTAAGTAAGTGAACCTGACGTTCTCAGAAATGCAAGAACCTCTAAAAGGGAAGGGGTATACTTTAACTGGGCTGCAACATGGGGTTCCAATTTTGCCTTTCTCTACTTTCACAATTCTACACTGAAATTAAATTAAGGAATAGCAATTCCGTCCAGTTTCAGTTTTGAAAGTGCTGGATACACATCCAGACCTCCCCTCCTCACCACCAAAAGAAAAAAACCACCAACCAATTCTCACAGTCACTTTTTATAAGCCAGCAGAATGACTCAATAGAAACGAAAAAATGATTAGTCAGCAAGATTATCTCTACTCGAGTTACTCATAACAAGTTTCAATTATTTAACAAACAAAACCACTTCCCTATTCCTGCTTCAATCCAGCCCCATAAAATCTGGGTGCGGAGCCCAAGGGCACAGTTACGTACACATTTAGTTCAACAGCAGTGTCAAGCTCCAGTCCTTCCTGTCACTGAAGCCCACAGCAGTCATTCCCACCCTGTGCCAGGCCTTCTACTGAATGACTATGACTGACCCCGGTGAAAACCAACCTGTCTCTCACATTATTTTTCAAAGCAATCAGTTCCCTGATTCAACTCACAGCATAGCCAATGAGGGTATAGCAAAGGCAGGAGCTCAAGCGGGTACGGCCTTCCAAACAAGCCTGTGTGCAACCATACCCAAAGATTCCCAGTGCCTTTCTTGCCCCTTCCCTGTGCAAGCAGAGAAGAAAATCGAGGAAGACAATAACTCCACACTCGGTAGCCATCACTGACCGCCTCTCCAACACATACACTCCCTGCCGGGCATTTATCTTAGATCTGTCACAGCAGTTCATCTTCACCCCTCCCGTTTGGTGGCACACTGCTCTAAGCCTTTGTGCTACTTCTTTAAGCCGACTGCTGTGCTGCTTCCAAGGCCTGTACGCCATGAGAACGGAAAGCTCTGTGACGTGCAGCTCGAACAAGATGGCAGAGCGCGAGTCACTTCTATCAGGAACAGCAGTAACAGAAAAGTACACGGGAAAAGAAAGAGGAAGAGCCTTACTCTGCCTCGCAGCGCTCCGATACTCGCCATGCAATCCCAACTCTGGATGCCACCGTTCCATCCACTTATACTTTGTAAAATATATAGCCATCACCTATATAGCTTGATGCAGTTTTGAAAGGAATCATTCCTGTTTATATTATTGCTGCTAAACATGGCCTAGTGTATACATAACAGAGACAAAATATTTAACTTTAACATCTTAACATTTAGACACATAATGGACTTCTAGTCTCATTCAAGAAAAAAGTATGCTCATGTTCCCCACGTAAGATTATCTTTTCAAAAAATAACGTATGACCATATTAATCATTACTTAAAAATCTTTTGTATTGCGATTGCATGTTAGTTTTTCAGAATCATCTTGATTTTTATGCAATTTAAACATTCAACTTATTACCGAACATATTCCACTAAGCACACCATTTCAAACATTTACAGAAATATGAAATTCTGCAGTAGAAGTACTTCTAAAGCTACAGACAGTCCACCTATGAATTTCATCTTAACATGCATTTTATCATTACCTACTCTTATTCAACACACAAAGTAGCGTACAAGAACATACAGTCCTATACTGTTTCTAAAGAGGTGAGAGAGCAAAACTGTCTATTGCAGCTGTTTTTGCACAGCAGTAATGTATTCAAATATTTTATACTAGTATCATTTACAACTAAATCATTCTAGACAGCAGGCCTATGTGCATTTAGGCCATTTGAATAATTCAGAGTTTTTTTTTTTTAGTTGACTGATCTACATTTAAGGCTTGTATGTTACCCTAAAATATTAAGGGATCCCTTTATTTTAACTGCTATGGAACATCCAACAACTCAGTCAAGTTGTGTCCAAACAGAAGGTAGGCATTTTCCCCCCTACTATGGCTGTACAGTTACCCCCTTGGGGATTTTGGAATGCATTCCATCTTTCTAAGCTTGCATTGCAAGGACATGATCCTGAAAGTTGGATTACCCCAAAAGCATCACAGGCATATATCATTATCTTTACAAGTTATGAAAAAAATATCTTGTTGGGAAATCTATAAAAATATAGCATTTTTTAACCGCAAATTATAATGTATAGCTCTTTTTTATGCAGTATACAGACTTGGTGGCACATAAACTAACTTAAGTTTGGTGCAATTCATGGGGAAAGAAGAGGCAGGTGTACTTTTTGAACCTCCCGACTGCTGCAAGCAGCAAAGAGCCAAAGCACACTAAAACAGATCCAAAAC